CGTCAATTTTGAAGGTGGTGCCTTCTAACTATTCTGCCCCGACCCCTTCTCCGTGGTCACAACCCCATTGCAAAAAAAAACTTCCCCGGTTGTACCAGGCGCGGCTTTTGGGTGGTGAAAAGTTCCCACCCCCCCCCCCTGGCCCCTTTTGGGTGAGGTCAAAAACCCCCCTTCTGACCAGACCTTGTCCAACGGTTTCCAGGGGGGGGGGGTTGGTCAAAAACAAAAGTTTTCCTCCCCCAAAAAGTTTTCGTAAACTGGCCCCCTAGAGAAAAACCCGAAATTCCCCACAGACACACACCTACAACGACTTTTTTTTTTGGGGTAAAGGTCCTAGGCCCCCCAAGAATGGGAAAGGTTGCCTAAGTCCCCCCCCCCCCCGCCCCCCCCTTCCCCCCCTCCGTTTACCGGGGTCCCCCAGGCGAAAAATGTCGAAGACCCGGATTCCGCCTACACGACTTGGGGTAGGTTAGCCAGAATGAGCTAGTCCGCCTCTCGTACCAAAATCCTTGTAGCTTTCTACAAGTCGAGTCAGAACCCGATTTTTCCTCGCGCTTCCCAGGTGGACGTGTACAAGGAGACCTACTCTGTGGGGTCTTCTCCTGTAGCCACCTCATGCGGTAGTGGTCCCATTTGATAACCGCCTGGCTGGGCGACCCACGTAGCGTGTCAACCCGTTACTCCCTCCTGACGAGCGACGGTCCAAGCGCGTATACCACCTTTCTTGCGTCCCAGGACCTCCTCCTGTCAATACCACCTGCTATAGAATTGTAGGGTGTTACTGGTTTTCTCTGACTCCTTTAGTGTCCTCCGCATCCTTCTCTAGGACTCGCGGCCTCCGAAGAGGGAGTTTGGTACCCAAGTCCAGTCCGGTTTCACCCTCCGTCTCCTGACGTCTCGTCCAGGTTCGCACCTCGTCATCGCGTCTCGGTCCCCAAGTTCTGGTGACCATGAGGGCTTGGTCAATTCGCCTGCTCCTGTTTGTTTCCGAGACCCCTAACCCTATTAGTACACCTTTTCTAGTTGAAATGTACTACATGGAGCTAGTTGAAGAGTTCTTTCTTCTTTTTCTACCTCTCCACCTGACTTAGAAAGACACTCCTCCTCCATTCTGTCTTTGCGGACTGGGAAACTGATCTTCCCTTCGATGAATCAGTTCAATCACCTGAGATACTAGGTTAACCGGACCAATGCGGACGTTTCGTCTTCCCCTGATAGGAGCAGGTCTTCCGGAAGGTTCTCCGCCTCCTCTCCTTCTAACTGTTTCCTTCTGAAACCGTGTCGGGTGAGAGTCCTTTGGAGGCTCTTCTACGATAGTCGACAAACTTCTCCATACACTCCGACTTCATTCCAGTTTAAGGTGTCCTCAGAGTGCGGTAGGCCCACCTTTCCGTTTGGCACCCCCCAGTGCAAAAGTCTACCCTCGCTACTGCGTATGCCACGGGCACTACATGGACTCTCTACCCTCAGTTTCGTTCCCAGCTCCAGT